AGCAGGCGCCCGTGAACGACCTGTCATTCGCCGACAGCACGACGGGACGGCCGTGGGCCGAGTGCGGCCACTACACACCCCAATGGTGGGGCGTCGACCTCGGGAGCGAGATGTATGTGGGCTACGTGCGGCTGCAGAACCGCAACGACTGCTGCCCGGAGCGGCTGACGGACGTCGACATCTATCTCGGCCCGACGGCGGGGACGTTCACGGGCAACGCGCTGGTGAAGTCAGACGTGAGCGTGTTGTCGAACGTGATGTTGGAGGTGGAGATCAACGCGTTGGGGCGCTACATCTACGTCAACCGGCCGTCTGCGACGGGGCTGACGGTGTGCAAGTTCTACGTCTTCGCCTCGTGAGTAGACGTGCCTGTATGTCCTGACAGTGTAAGAGGTGTGCATGTTCAGGGTGCGTGATGGTGATAACGCGCCTGTGTGTATGTCCTGACAGTGTACGTGGCTGGGTTCACAGCCTTGTTATTGAGAAGAAAATACCTCCTATGGCGCTGTTCACAGCGATTGTAGGAAAATGAAAACGAAGGGAACACTTGACGGTCGCGGCCTTCCGACTCGCGCCTCCGCCTCACTGACACTATTGTAGCCCTGGCCGGTGCGCGTGTGAAGTTTAAGTTCCGGAGTAAAAATTCGATCGCGTTCTCTCACGGTGACAAAAAAATGTCCACCTCAGAGGCACCTCCGGAGGCAGGCCGCCGCACGCCGGCGACACAGCTCCAGCTGTGGAACTGACCCGCAGCTCCTCTCAGAGCGGGAACTGAGGAGGTTGTCAGGAACCATCATACGGATCACATGGTGGCTCTCTCATGACGGGAGACCGACCGACCACTCCTGGGTGGCACTGCCACCGGTGTCGCTCGACGTCCTGTCGACAGCGTGCCGACAGCGACACAGACCATGTGGGACGCGTCGAGTATCGACCTCTACTGCTTACCCAGCCTTCGAGTGTATCCTGGCTGTGGCCCCACACCCACTGGTGTCCATCTCAGAGACCGCAGGAGGTCATGAGGGTCGACGGGAGTGCCAACCCCACAATGCCTAAAAACCCAGCCCAGTAAGAGGTGTGCACGATAACAGACAGGAAGGGGAGGGCGAGCCGAGAACGATAGAGAGGCCACGGATCTCGGATGCGGGCGCGACTCGCCGACCAGGGAGAGCCGGCCCGACCTCCCGGGGAGGGGTCGCGACGAGACACGATGCCGCCGCCCTCGCCCGGGGAGGCCCCGCCCGGGCTGTCAGCTCCCTCGGAGCCAACGGGGCTAGCCACCTCCGAAGAAGAGACATCAAAAACGAGTTCAGAGGCAGTGGGGCGACGCTCGGAAAGCGAGCAAGAGACCGAACCAGACCGAAGATTCGCCCTGATGGGTGCGGGACGAGGCCCCCGCGCCGGGGAGCCGCTGCGCAGCCGGGCAGTGTACACGTTAGGTAGTCGTGTCGATAGTGTCCGTGTCCACTAGCTCCGAGTAGAGGGGGCGTTCTGCAGTTAAGGGGAAACCCGGTACACGGAGCCCTCTCGGAGACCCGTGTTTATTTTACGGCCCTTTCCCTGCGAACGCGCACCCCCCCTAGCTAGGGGTCAGGGCTCTCTAGCCCGTAGCCCGATGCCGATCATCCGGCTCGCTGGGTGCGCTTCTTAGCTCCCCGGCCCTGGATGTGAGGTTAATGACTGCACTCCAAGTGCTCCAAGTGCATGCGATGGCCGTGTGACGAACGACTAGTGCCGGACGCTGTGGACCGTCGCACTTGTCTTCAAAGAAAGGGCACCGCCGTTAGGTTAGGTTAGGGAGAAAGGTGAAGAACAGTCAGGCTCGGACTGGACACCAGCGCGGTATGGGTGGACGCGGGACAGATGATGACGACACACGCACGAGCAACACACAGACACAAACAAGCTCACAAGACACACAGCCAGCGTGGCTGCCACACACCCTGAGTTGGCGTACAAAAACTCAGTCAGGGCCACATATGATGTAACATACTTGACCCCCCCCCCTGGCGCCTTGTGATTTTCGTGGCAGAGCTGCGGATCTCAGCCCGTCGTTCTCCGCTCGCGCCGGCCGCCCATGCGCTCGCGGGGCTGGCCGACGGCGCGGGCCTCTTGCCGATGGACCCAGCCGAGGTGCCCGGCCAGTCGGATCCGCGCCGACGCGCTGCGCGCGACCACCAGCCACAGCTTTTCAGCGAGGCCGAGCACGGTGCGCCGAAAGAGTAGACACTGAAAGTAGCAGCCGAGTTGTTTGCCTCTTTTTGAGCGCGGCTGCTGCACACCCAGCCCACCAGTGATACTAGAAGCACCAGATTCACCCCGTCGAGAGCTTGACCGTCACCCCGGTGACCGCCCATAGGTGGCTGATCGAAGCGCCACTCATCGCTGCTTTCGTGCGCCTGGTCCTCAGAGGGCTCCTGCGGCTCTCCCTCGTCGCGTGACCGCCGCCGACATCATGTGCTCGGTCGTCCCCGCCGGCGCGGAGCTGCGCCACGTCGAATTCTTCGGTGGCTCGACCGCCGGCGCGCCCACCGTCGCCTCCTGCGCGCCTCACACCCAGCATTCACCTCGCGCGCGGCCGACAAAGAGAGCGCACGACCACCTCCCTCTCAGACACCCACCCGACGAAGCACAGCCCGTTCGTTCTCGCCGAGAAGACGCTCGGAGCGCCCAATTTTGCCTCGTGCGGCCATCAAACAGGCGCGTTGATGCCTCCCATCTCCGCACTTCCCATCTACCCCCACACTGCCACTGCCGGGGACGCGCAGATGCGACTCCCGGGCCCACTCACCTCACCCGAGCCCGGCCGACCAGGCACGGCCCGACGAGAACCCGCCGGGAAGGAGCTGGCCGAGCCATCGCCGGCCTCCCTGCCGGCTCATGACCGCTCAAAAGGTCGCGGACCCGCCCGTCGCTTGCCGCCCCTCTCGCCCTCTCCCAGCCCTTGCCGGCGACAGGATCACGAACCTAGGGCTCAGTTCCGTCTCCCCCCCCTCCCTCCTGTAGGCAGGCCGTCCCGCGCTGGCGGGAAGAGGCGCGCCAAGCCATCGGCGACGTCCCGGCGAGCTCATGGGCGCTCAAAAGGTCGCGGACCCGCCCGTCGCTTGCCGCCCCTCTCCCAGCCCTTGCCGGCGCTTTTGCACGAACCTAGGGCTCAGTTCCGTCTTCCTCCCCCTCGCTCCTGTAGGCAGGCCGCCCCGCGCTGGCGGGAAGAGGCGCGCCAAGCCATCGGCGACGTCCCGGCGAGCTCATGGGCCCCCAAAAGGTCGCACCGGCCCGTGGCTCCGCCGTCGGCTCCGCCGCGAGCGGCGACGGTGAGGCCGCCGGTGCTCGCCTATACCGGCTAGTGTGGAGCTCTCAGTGTGGTTGCGTGTTGTACTAGTGATGCTGCACTAGGCGGCCCGTTTTTAGCAAAAAGCAGATACCACATCGCGTGTGGTCGTCGAAAAACCGCATGTTCGCCCGTCTGGGACCTCTTCGTACGGCTCCAAAAACCGCTCCTTAACGACGACTACGCGGCCCTGCGGTCGATCTGCGCCTTCTCAGCGGTGGAGGGGATGTGGGCGGTACGTGCGGACCGCGTGGCGCTGCGATGGCTTGACGAGTGCGACTCCCAGTGTCGACTTTTCGACCCCACGGAGCCTCTGCTGCTCCGGGGGGGGGGTCTGCAAAGGAACAAACAAGGGCACAACAACACACAACAGACGACAGGAAGTAACATGTGAGACTAGAGCAGGCTTGCTCCGCCTCTAGCAATCTCGTCGCCGGCCGCAAGGCATGGACGAGACCGTGTGTGGGGTCATGTGAGGTGTCTATGGACTCCCTCCTCAGAGGCTAGCAGCCAGCCGCTAGCCCTCTCTCGCACTCACGGGCAGTGACAATTCTGCCTCCGCGGGAGCCTCCCTGAGCCGCGGGAGGTAGGTAAAAAGAAAACGAAGCCGCGCCCGCCTAAACGAGAATCGGCCTCATTGCTTCTCAATATGGCCTCGAGGCTACACGTCGCCATGCTGCTGTCGGCAATCGGCCTCTCGGCCGGTGCGCACTCGGAGCGTCGCGAGGATGGCTTGAGACTCGAATTTGACTTCTCCACCGAGATCGTCAACAACATGGCCGGCTTCCCTGGAAGCGACGCCGTCCGCTGGCTGCATCAACTGATTCGGTGCCAGCGCCCCCCAACACCCTCGCTGTCGCCGTCCGCCCTCCCTTGCCGACTGTCCCCCTGATCTCCCAGATACGGCCAGCTCGAACAGACTGTCACCTCCTCGCCTCACATGCCGCACACCACTCGCCAACCTCCGCCTACCCCCGCAGTTTTACAAGGACGGCGCAGTCTTCCTCCCCTTCGGCCTCACCGAGGCGGACAACGTCACCCTCGACCTGGTCATCTCCAACGTCACCGAGTACCGCCCGTGGAACACGGCACAGAATGGGCGGAACCGACCCGTCGACCCAGACAACTGGCAACCGGGCCAGCCGCTTGGCGCCTTCGGTGCACTCAACCTCGCCGCAAACACCTCCAGCATCTTCCAGTTCGACTTTGTTTTCAAGGTGCCGTGCTCAAGCCCGAACGCGAACGCCACCATATGCGCAGACCCGAACGCCACCACCATCTTCGAGGCGAGCCGGAACGGGAACACCACGTCGAGCTACGACATAGTCCTTGAGAACGAGGCCGCCCTCGCCAGTGAGAAGCCGGAGTTCGACACTTGCTTCTTCGACTTCGACACTGGCGTCGACGGTGTGATGGCCGAGACGATCACCGCGTTCGACGTTGCCGACTATTTCACGCACAGCGACCGCGGCACCGCCGCCGACACGGAGGAAGACACCCGCAACCTCCCTTTCGAAGTCTGTCCGAACGTGCGCGCTCCTCGGCTCCCGCCCTCTCCGCGCGCCCCGCCCGACTCACCCCGTATCTCCGCCTCCGCAGATCGACACGTCGGGAGCCATCAAGTTCGAGTACTTCAACGGTATCACCTACCGGGATCAAGGGATCGCCGCTACGGATGGTTTTGCGGGCCCGGGCATCATCACAGAAGAAGACATCGGCCTCACGCAGCTGCTCGACAAGGCGGCCGCGCAACCTCTCTCGGGGTCAGACAAACTGACCGTGAAGGCCACGGCGCTCTTGGTTGGGAACGGCAACGACAACCCACAGGTCCTCGACGACGTGCTCCTGAACCCAGAATTGTGCTACCTCTACGACATCTGCCCGTCGATCGCAACCCCGGTCGGGTGGCCTGTCACCGTCAGTGGCGTAGCGAACATAGCGACCTGCACAGTGCGCCCCCCCCCCCCTCCCC